TGGTGGTGGAGACGCAGCCTGTTTGCATTGAGTGGCAAGGTGGTCTCCGATTGGCCAGGCAATCGTCCGGTGTGGAGCGCAGCTTGCTGAGAACTTTTCTTACACAGCCAACGCTGCTTGGATCTGAAAGTCGCGCTGTGACACTCATGTCAGGCAGCATGCTTGATGTTGTCTTGTTGTCAGTTGTGCTGTCACCTGCTCAGGCTGACAAAGAAGATGCTGAACAAAGAGCTGGCGGCCCTGGTGTGCTACTTGAAGGGCATCGACCTGCGTGCTTGCAGCAAGACTGTGCCAGTTTTTCAAGCGATGAGCAGACCTGAGCTATTGAAAGTTCTTGCTGCGGAAACGTCACAGCGGGATGGCGATACTGATGACATCACGGCCAACTTCGCGGCTCAGGTCCAAGCTCTGCACAACAATGCCCCCGCTGGCAACGACAGTGATTCTGATGAGAGTGCCTGCAATGCTGATCAGGATGATCTTGAGTTTGATGCAATGGTGTTGGAGGACATGGACCCAGAAGATCGTCGTGAGTTTGAGCAAGTTCAAAAAACAATTGAGAAACATCAGGCTCGTGCGAAGCAGAAGGAATGGGCAGTAGTCAGAAAGGCCATGATGCCAAAGGCCAAGGCAAAGGCCAAGGCAAAGGCCAAGACAAAGGCCAAGTCCAAGGCCAAGACAAAGGCCAAGGCCAAGGCAAGCAACAAAGCCAACATAATAAAGGGGCTGAAGACTGCCAAATCAAGCAGCTCCAAAGTGGCCAGCAAGGCGAGCAGGAAGATTTGGCATGGCGCACTGAAGAAGAAAAGACAAGACTGCCCTGCTCTTCGCGAAGGTGACACCCATGAAAAGGGAAACGTGCTGGTTGAAGTCCCTGAAGAAGTTGAAGCTGTGACTCCGAATCCATGGCAGCGGCGGGTGGTTCGTAGAACTCACTCAGTGTCGTCGTGCCCTGAATCTGCGAGGCCTGCTGCGCAGGCCGAGGCTGCTCCAGAAGAGCGGCCAGCCAGTGTGGCGGAGGACAACAGCACGGCTCCTCCAGAAGACAAGCCAGCCAGTGTGGCGGACGACGGCAACAGGCTGAGTCCGCAGGCGGACCTGCCACCTGCCAGCCACACCCAATCTCCAAGCAAATCGACAAGGCACAGTGATGAGCCATTGCCAAGTTCTGGGGCAAGTGTCATTGCTGCTTCCAGCAGTGCCGATGATTTGGCTATGGCTGATGGTGCCGGTGCACAATCAAGTCGCCCTGGCCACCATGGACCCCGGCAACCTGCTGTGTTTGATCCGCTTATCTGGACTGAGGTTTCCTGCAATACTTGCCGCAAGCAATGTGGGCATTACAAGTTTCATCCAGCGCCAGGGGGCCGAGACAAGCCAACCTGGATCATGAGGTGCTACGACTGGGAGAAAGGCGGGCAAATCATAATGACCATTGTTGTGTGTGTGTGCGTAATAATAGTCTTGAAGTCTTAGTTCTGTGCTGTGGTGGCGCTCTGCCAGGCGAGTGGCCATCAAAAGGCCAATTGAGGAGGACAAGCGCTATAATGACTGAGCTACAGGTTAAGGACTGGATCCAGTCTTCCAAAACATGTGGCTGTAGACAGAAGGCATAATTCTTTGCTCGTTTGCGAGTTGCGCACGACTTGATAAAATAGCGAGAACCTCTGGTGTGCTGAGTGCAAAGTATCTCATCATGTCATTGGCCTGCTTGCACTTGTGTACGGGAATTGCTTGTGGCAAAACAAGTTGTGGCGGTTCGGTTCAAGTGCTGTCAGTTGAAAGCGCAGATTCAAGTGCTTCCCACTTTTGCTAAACTCGCAATGTCGCTGCTGGGCTTAATAATGATTGTATGCATTAGGTGTTGCTGTCATCAATTTAGGCAAAGTGATGGTGCGGGGTTCGGGCGCACACTATCTAAGGCAGAAGCTATGGAAATGTGAGGATGCTGGTAGTTTTGCTACTATAGTTATTGAGTCTGCGTCGCCGTGCACAAACAACATGGCCAATGACACTGCCATTGATGATGAGGAACACCAGGAGGCCACATGCCAGGAGGGCACCTTGAGTGGACCCCAAGATGTGATTCCCACAAAAAACGACCACGCTCTTCGACTCCAGACACGGGAGATCTGCGCCCAGTGGTGCTTCAAGAAGTGCTTGCTGACCAGATGCAGATGCCCTTACCAACTGCCGATCGCAAGTTCAAGTTCATCGAAGGTGACTGGTTTGTTCGGATGCCCGTGAGCTACAGCACATCGATGCATAAAAAGGTGTGGTTTTTTACTGCCAGGGCTGGAACTATTACTTTGGCTGCGCGAGATCGTGTTCTTTGGTGCTCTGCGTGCGGCTTAGCGCACCATTGTGGCCCTCAGTGTTCATGTGCCTGTCACAAGCTTGCTCGCGCATATTCAATGCGTCATGGCCTCGTGCTGGATTGATCTTCAGCCAATAATAGACAAGCAGTGTGTTGCTCCAGTACAGAGCGGAGCTGCAACTTTTAACTGATGGGCGAACTGCTTGACTCGACTGTGTGCGACTTTGGAAAAAAAGCAACAGGGCTGCGCAAGTGAGTTTAGATGCGTGAGTGCGGAAGCTCACTTGAGGCCCAGCAGTCAATGGAACAAGAGGAAGAAACAAGTTGTCGCTCTATAAATATCCTGACTTCATTTGAGTTTATGGCAACAGCCGTGCGCGCACATGCCATCATGAATGACATGAACCATGACCCATGTTCAGGCTGCAAACATTCCAGTCATGCTTGAGATGCGGTTTTGCGGCTCAAGCCTGTCAGTAGCAGTTGACTCAACGTGCTTGATTGAGATTTTGTGAACCATTGACATTGAAGCCTCATGTCAACTGGCTTGCCTGCTGATAAGAAGCGTCGGACAGTGACATATTCTCCTGCAAGTCAGACAGTGTGTCACACTGAATCTTCAGAATCAGAAGTTGAAGCCAGTGCGACAGTGTGTCTGAGTCAAATCGAACGTCCTCAGCCTGACTGGACTGACGCTCAGCCACGGGACTGGGGAGTTGAAATGACTGAGCCGGAGCTTCAGCAGGGGAATGACAATGACGACGTCGAGCAGTCAGATTTATCGGAGCTGGACTCGGAACTGGAACGTGAACCTTGCCCAGAATTTCTTGCAGAATCTATTCTGACAGATTTCAGGACCGGTGACCGGCGCGGCATGTGTGGTCGTGGTGTGACTATTATGTGGGTTGGACATGAAGCGTTTGTTCAGTTGCCGAGTCAGCTGAACGTCAATCGGGAACCTGTGACCTTTGTTACTGGCATGCGTGGCGCAGTGCTCATGATCATCAACGACAATCGCAAGACAATGCATTGCTCCCATTGCTCGAACCTTGATTCGACTTATGTGCAAGAATACCCCAGTCCAACGGTCTGTGAAGATGATGATGATCCGTGCACCTGTCCTTGCCACAAGTTATTGAAAGCGCTTGACTTGGATCATGGCAGAGTATTTTTTGAGCTGGCTCGCCAGCGACGTCAAGAATGAATAATGATGATGGACAATGGAATGGTCCAACGTTGCTGGCGCTAACGTGCGCTCATGATGACTTGCGACTCACTGATGCAACAATAAAAAATAATCATTATTATAGAATTGAGTGACACACACTTAATGCATGTTGTATGTTCTTGCATGTGTTTGTCCTTGTTTGCATTTGTGTCATGTATGTTTGCATTGTTTTTGCACTCTTTTTGTATTTTTGTATTTTGTTGCATTTTTTGCATTTTGTTGCAGTTTTTTGGCATTTTGTTGCATTCTGTTTTTTGCACTTTTTTGCATTTTTTGCACTTTTTTGCATGTGTTTGCACTTTTTTTGCATGTTTTTTGCACTTTTTTGCATCTTTTTGCATTTTTTGCATCTTTTTGCATTTTTTGCATCTTTTTGCACATTAGATGCAAAAATAAGATAATTTGAGATAATTTGAGATAATTTGAGATAAATTGAGGTAAGGTCTAAACCCCATGGATCTGGGACTCTTAATATAATCACTGACTTTCCATGACTGGCGTCAAGCCGAGAGAACCGTGGAACAAGCCCTTCTGGCTGAAACTCAGGCCAACAGCCGCCACTCCCTTCAAAAGTGGCGCGATGACATGATGCAGCAGGGCCCGGCGGCCACGCGGTGGATCAAAGGTCAGGGCCATCGGCCGACGCCGTGCGTGGTAACCAAGGATGGGGTCCCCTTGGCCACTCCGGAGGACATGCTCCAGGAGATCCGGTGCTTCTGGTCCAAGATCTGGGACCGCGAAGCAAGGCCTGAGGCCATTGATGAGCTTCAGCACCAAATGGACGCGGGCCAATGGCGGACCTCTCCCACTCTCCTCAGCCAGCGGATTTGGCGGCCCGTGCCCAGGAGCTTGGCCATTCGGCGGCGGGTGCTGACGGCTGGAGCGGGAGCGAACTCCGTGATCTTCCCCTTCAGGTGTTCGAGTGCTTCCACACCTTGGTCCTGAGGTGGGGCAGGCGTGGGCAGTGGCCTTTGGCCTGGCGGTCCATTCGCCAGGTTCATTTGCCCAAACTCGCTGCGCCCGGCCCTTCTGACCCTGTTCGGGCACAGGACATGCGGCCAATTGCTATCCTTAGCATTTGGTATCGCCTGCTGATGAGCACCATCTCCAGATCCGGAGCGATCCGTGACTGGCTCGCCTCTGTCACTCCGGATGCCTGTCATGGCGCCTTGAAGGGTCGGAGTGTTGCCACCGCCCTTGCGAGCACCGCCCTTGCGAGCATCCTTCCCCGGCTCGACGCTGGCGCTACTGCCTTGGCTTTGGACTTCAAGAAGTGCTTTGACTTCACGCACCCTGTCCTGGCCCTTCAGCACTTCAAGCTGCACCAGTGGCCGGCTGAACTGGTCGGCCTTTTGAGCCATGTCTGGCAGTCTCAAGAGAGGGAACTCTGGTGCTCGGGAGTTTCTTGTGCCCTAGATTTGCTGCGTCGGTAGCTCTGTGCCTCAGGGTGACGGCATGAGCGCGATGGGTGTGGTGCTGGTCCTTTCCGATGCCGTGAGGGACATCTCCAGACACCACACGCAGTCGGTCTTTCTGGACGACCGGGTCCTGGTAGCTGACACGGTGAGGGAAGTGCTCGCCGCCAAGCAAAAATGGGCGAGATGGAGCAGGAAGCTGGGCCTGGAGGAGAATGACCAGAAAGTGGTCGCCTTGGCCCAGACGCAAGCTCAGCGCCTGGCTTTCGAAAGACGGGGTCTGTCACAGAGCCAGATCTCAGGTCAGCTCCGCATCCTGGGCGTGGACTACCTCTCGCAGGGCTGCGATGGCTACGGCTCCACCAGGCAACAGAAAACAGTCCAGGCCCTCGGCTGGCGTCTGGCTCGTGCCCCGTTGCCGGCGGAGGTTCGCACCAGCCTCTACCGGTCTCGCATCATCCCCAGTCTTTGTTGGGGTTGGTGGTTTCAGGACATGCCCGCCGAGGTCTTCAACCAGGCCTACGCGGTCTTCCGGAAGGTTGCAACGGTGCACCACATGGCGGCCAGAAACCTTCGGGTCATCATGGATGGGCATCAGCTGTGCCCCTACTTCGTGGCCTTTGCGCAAGCCTTCACGCAGCTGCGGTCCCTGGTCCTCAAGGGCTTGCCTTGGCCGGGTCACGGCCAGCGGCACAGCTGGGTGGAACGTGTGAGAGACACTCTGGGGGCTGGGGGTGGCGGAGCGTTGGCGCTCGGGCGGTGGACTCACCCGACTGAGGGGAACATGGACGTGCAGCACGACAACAAGGACAAGGTGCTTCACTTGGTGAGGGAGTCGTGGAGGAGGTCACACTGGGAGGCTTTCTTGGCCAAAGACCGCAGGGACAGCAGATTCTTGCGGGGCACTGCGTACCACCCCAGGAGGTACAAGTGGGCAGCCGAGGCTTTTCGGGATGGCGGGCAGCATGTCAAGGCTGTCCTCACGGGAGCGGCGCTCAGCCTCTCGGTGCAGCAGGTCATTTTTGAGGGCGCTGTGCAACAAGGCTGCGGGCTGTGTGGAGATGCAGAGGCATTCCCGACTTGGGAACACCTGGCCTGGGATTGCGCTGGTTTTGCAGCGCGGCCCGCGAGACCAGGAGATCCGCTGTCCTGCCGCTTTGGCTGGCCGCAGCGCGCCGGACCTCCGGGTCGTGTGGTGGTGGAACATTTGGCAGCGGTCCGGGAGCAGGTGCTGGGCTTCAGGCCGCATGGGCGCCGTGGCGCCCGCTTGTAGACTTCGTCTCCAGGGTGTGGTTGTCTTCGGGCGCTACATCCTCTAAGGCATTAAACGAAGAAGACGAAGCTAGCGGCCGAGTTGGCGAACGGGCGACTGGCGATGATGGCCATCATCGGCATGTTTTTCCAGGACCCGCAGATGCAGAGAGTACGCGTCATTTGTTCATAGCTGGGTACACTTAGAGTGTGTGTGTTGTTTCTGCACTGCCGGTCAGGCAAGTGTGACGTGCGCACTTTGAACATGAGGAGAAACAACATGAATAATTACTTGTATTGCACTTTTATTGTTGCGTTTGTCAATGCAGGTTTCGATGCATGTTGTCGTGTGCTCACGCAGCTTTATGTTATTTGCGCACATCATTCTTGTATGAGGTTACACCTCTTCAACAGACAGGAATGTTTGGCGGACGGACACATCTTCAGAGAGCGGTTACGGCAAAACAGATAGACTATTCCGAGGCCGAAGTTTTTCCAGTGGCAGACATCCCTCACCCCCCCCCAAAAAAAATAAAAGGTTCTAGAAGATTCTTTCCAAACTTTGTCTGTCTGGAGGCGCAGAAGGCTTTCTTTCCGGGATGCGCAACTTTGGGAGCAGTGCTCTTGCCTGTTCTTGAGGGGGCAACATTTTGCGGGACGCGCAAAACAGTTATCAAGGCACTGACCATGATTCGTGCCATGGTCAAAAGCCTTGATGGGGTCGGTCGGATGGTCATCAACCCCTTAACAGGGATTCTCTCGACAATGGCCCACATGAGGAGCTTTGACCATGGCACTGTATATCACACAAAGATCCACAACATTGCATGCTAGTAAAGGACATGCCCAAGCAGGAATACGGCGGTTGCCATTTCAGTTCCTTTGTACGAGCAACAGTCATTGTTTTTTGAGGGTGCCAGGGTACCTTTTTCAGGCTGCTTGAAGGGAGAACACATTTTTGGGTTCCCCTATTTCACACATACTGTAGTAACAGGGGTGACATGGGCAAGCTGGGCGTACTCACCAAGTTGCCATTGGGAAATTAAATAGGCGCTGCTCACCGTTGATGTTGACGGCAGTTAGTGGAGCCTGAATCCTTTGACCATACCACCCTTTGTATGTGATATGAAAGGGATGATATGATACTTAAGATACCGGGTTTGGGGTGCATCCACTTCCTGCAGGATGGACTGACTGGCAGCGCCTGGGGTGACTGGGCGAATTACACTGCTTCGCCTTTGAGGGCAACCTCGCAGTGAGGCGAAGGGCGTTGTGGGTTTGTCTCAAATGGGGAAATGAGCAACGGACAAGATTGTCAGTAGAACAGCGTTGGTTTGGGGAGGAGATGGGGCGACAACCCAAGCTTTCCACACCGTCAGGGGGAACACCCAACTCTTCCATGTTCTCTTGCAGAAACAAACCATTTTGTCAGGAGTTCAACTGGACACATAAAATGGTGCGTTTCTTTTGGCTTCCCCAAACCTGCCACAACGAGTTCCTTACAAAAGACACGCTGGTGTTTTTACCCCCCTCCCTCCACCGCGGCACCTGACAGGGGGTCCTCGCACGAGGAAAAGTATTTGATACAGCTTTGCTAGTGCGGGAGAGTGATACATTAAGCTGCAAGGTGTGGCGTTGCGTGTTTACCCGTTTTGCAGTAGTGGAAGTGGACAGCAGGCCTTTTCAAAGGACTGGAGTCTGAGCCTCCTGACTCCTGTGAGCTTCAATTGGTTCAGTTGACGGTCAGTCCAAAAGCCACACCTGCCATAAGCCTTCGCTTTCCCCAGCGGTCGCAGGCAAAGTGGCTTGACGATGAAAAAGGGAGGCGGGAGGGCGCATTTTGCATCATCTTGACTCCGGGCACACAATTGGGGATCCTTCATGCTCAGTTTTCTAGTCTGGGGTTGATCCGGGGTTGATACTCTGACATGACAATCGAGTGCGCATCGCTTGTGGTGACTCGTTTTTGCGAATCAGTTGCCACCACACTTTTTTGTGCAAGAGCTTCAGCAGAACCGTAGAACATCAACATTGAAGAGACCAGTTGAGCCACAACCCGCGATTGGGTTTGGCCACAACGGGGGATGCTGCCGAATTGGCTTTACCATTGGTTGCCCTAAGAGCACACCCCAAACTCAACCCCCAAGAATGACCGCCCAAAAACAACACCCAAAACAACCCCCTAAAAAGGTACCCTCAACAAAGAGACACCCGACAGGTGCTGAAAGAGTTGCATCCGCCGCAGGCCGCTGAGTTTGGCAAGCTGCAGGGCAGACTACCAGACTCGAGCGGAAAATGTGAGCCCTTTTTTTAAATTAAGGGCGGGTGAGGGACATTTCCCCCTGGAGGAAGGTGCGATCTGCGCTCGGCGGTTCTGAGCAAATCTGCACGAAGCCAACAGCACATGTACCATTGTCGCTTTTAATCTTGGCACCCTTTGCACCTTGGTGTACCAAAAGGAAGCCCACCATGTTTGGGGTCCCCACACTTTGACACATACCCACGAGAGAACGGAAGATCAAGGAGCTGCTGTGCGTGTGCAGAAGCCGGCACAGTTGGCGTAGGGGGTTGGATGAGCGGCAGAAACATGGTCGATGTTTGAAGACCCAAGAAGCTCAATACATCGCCTGTCTTGAGACCCTGGCCCGGCCGTCTTGTTGCAGGCCACGCGCTCTGCCACAGTCAACAGCCATTTCTTACACTGCCATCAGGCACTGACAGCGCAGCTACAGAAGGTTGAATAAACTGTTCACTGCCGCATGGCCTATTCAGTATTTTCTGCAGCTAGTCGCCAAACGACTGGGCAGATGACTTGAGTCGTAATCGACTGCAACGCTTGGCCCATCGACGCACCAACGGTTTTCGCATCACTCCGTCCCAGCCAAACTCCAGCAGCAACTGCCTTGTTTTGCATCCCAAATCTGCACCGTGACGCCCAGAGCACGGCCAAGTGGCGCGCCTGTTGTCCATCTCACCAGGTCTACGCAACCTGCGCTGAAGTGGGGGTTCTTCGCTTGTCCGGTCGCGGGTCAGTCAAACAAAATGAAAACAGGCCATTCAGAGTTGAAGGCCGTTCCCCGCTGCTCACGTTCCTATGAGCTATGAAGTCTCTCTTGGATCCCAAATTTGTTTGCAGGGCAGTATCTTAAACAGGTTGCAAAGAGTCTCTGGGTCTTGGTCGTGACAAGCGTATCATGCTCAACGCCACAAATGCATACCACTTTCCAGAGCCTTCAAAACGGATGCTTTGACAGCGTTTGGCTTGGCTCTATACAGGCAAGCGTGACTCCAGTGCAGCGGTTGTAAATCAGATAGCAGAGTTGTCCCTGACAAAGGAGACAGCGTGCGGACTCTCATGCCCAAAGAGCCACGTGGCGTCTAGGGCTCCCAATGAGATTGAATAGATGGATTGGTTTGGTGATGTCGTGTACTTCTTGATCAGCGCGTGGGCACCTGGTAGAAGTGGCTCAAGTGGACTAATTGCTGTGACAAGTTTGCCTCGTTCTCTTCTGCGACATGATGACATGCGGATGGTTTGGCGAACGTCAGTGACGCAGCTTGGCACCCTTTGAGCGAACTGCAAACACTCAACACGCTCACCTGGAGGTAAAAACGAGCTCACCAAGCATGAAGGCCCCACTAAGGCAGTATTCAGTTTCACATAGATGAATTAGAAGAGTTGGTTCGGCTCCAACCTCTTTGTCAGAAGTTATAAAGGTTGAGAGTACTTGACGGACTAAATTTGAACAACAAAGAAACAGACACAACTACACACATACGCACAAATGT